GGGGGGGGGGGAGAAAACCTGCTTTCTGGATTTTTTGAGGGAGGTGGGGAAACCTGCTTTCCAGATTTGGATTTTTGGGGGGGCTTTCCGGATTTGCTTCTGGACCTCAAAGATAGTTGGAGGGATGGGGCGCCCCTTGCACTCCCCCCCCCCAGCCCTTTTCTTGCCTTTCTTTTGCATATGGGGAGACCCGGGGGGGTTTCCCCTCCCGGAGTTTTGCCCTGCGACCCCCGCCCCCCCCGCCAGCCTCTCCCGGAGAAGCCCAGAAACGAAGCGGGGCCGGCCTGGTCTGCAGCCCCTCCGGCCGGCCGGCCCACCCACCCAGCCTGCTCGCTCGCGCCCCTCCCGGCCGGCCTCGGCCATTTCCGCCAGCGGAGCCGAAGCCCTTCGGGCGGCCTCGCGCCCTCCTCCCCTCTTTTCCTTCTCGCTCTGCGCCGGGGGGGGGAGTGAAATTCGGCCATTTCCGCCACACGAGCCGAAGCCTCTCGACCGCCCCTCCCTCGCTGTCTGCGGCGGGGCTGCGCCCGGCCCCTCCCCTCCCCTCCCCTCCCTCCCTCGGCTGACCTCGGCCATTTCCGCCAGCGGAGCCGAAGCCCTTCGGCAAGCCCCCTCCCTCTTTCCTCCTGCCGACTGACACCTCCGCCCGTTCTCCGGCCAGCTTCGGCCATTTCCGCCACACGAGCCGAAGCCTCTCGACCGCCTCTCTCCCTGGCGACAGGCCCTCGAGGTCTGCGGCGACCCCTCCTCCCGTCAGCTTCGGCCATTTCCGCCACACGAGCCGAAGCCCTTCGGCTACCCTCCTCCCTCCCTCCCTCCGCCCGACGGACCCTTCATCTCTGCGGCGGGGCTGCGCTCGGACATCTCCTCCCCTCCCCTCCCTCTTTCCCTCCCTCCCTCTCTCGGCTAGCTTCGGCCATTTCCGCCACACCAGCCGAAGCCTCTCGACCGCCCCCCTCCCTCCCTCCCTGCCTCCCTCCCTCGCTCCCTGGCGACAGGCCCTCGAGGTCTGCGGCGACCCCTCCTCCCGTCAGCTTCGGCCATTTCCGCTAGCGGAGCCGAAGCCCTTCGGCTACCCTCCTCCCTCCCTCCCTCCGTCCTCCTTCATCTCTGCGGCGGGGCTGCACTCGGACATCCCCTCCCTCCCTCCCTGCCTCGGCTAGCTTCGGCCATTTCCGCCAGCGGAGCCGAAGCCCTTCGTTCTCCTCCTCCTCCTCCTCTTCCTTCTACCCCCCGCCCCCACCTCATCCCGACGGGCCCTTTCTGTCTGCGGCGGGGCCGCGCCTGCGCCCTCTTCCGCCCGCCGCCCCCTCCCCTTCGCGCGCCCACCCAACCCGCGGAGGCGGGGCGCGCGGCGTCTCCTCAGCCCGGCGGTCGCTCGGTCGGGGCGCGCCAGCCAGCCAGGCAGCTCCGGCCTCGCCAAGGCGGCTCCGACGGGGCGGCAGGAGGAGGAGGAGCGCGAGGCAGGCGGGCGGGCGAGCAGGCGGGGGTCCTGCCGCGCCAGCCCCTCCAGGGCTGAGGCTGAGGCGGCGGCGGCGGCGGCGGCTCTGGATGGGGCCGCGGCCGTCGGGGGCTGCCGCGCGTCCGCGTCGCCAGGGGCGGCTCCCGCGCGCGAGCCTTCCTCCTCCTCCTCTTCCTCAGCGTCCTCCTCCTCGTGGGGGCTCTTCCCGCGGCTGAGCGGCGCATGGGCGGCGGCCGCGCCTGAGGCGGGCGTCGGGGCGTCGGGCCTTCCTCCCGCCGGCCCCAATGCAGCAGCAGCAGCAGCAGCAGCAGCAGCCTGACTCAGCGGCGGCGGCGGCGGCGGCGCGGGAGAGGAAGAAGATGGCGCAGCCCGCGATGCTGCCTCGCCGGGCCGGCAGCGGCGCCGGCTTGGAGGACTTCCCGGCCGCCCTGCTGGGCCAGTCGCCGCCGGCTTCCCCTGCGGCGGTCGCCGCCGCTTCCTCGGGGTCTCCCTGCCCGGCCGGGGGGCCGCCGCCGCCTCCCCCCAGCCTGTCCCTGCTCCCGCAGCCTCCCGCCCCGTCCGGGCCAAGCGGCGGCGGGGGTCCAGCGGGCGCCCAGTTGAAGAAGAAGAGCGGCTTCCAGATCACCAGCGTGACCCCGGCGCAGATCTCGGCCAGCCTCAGCTCCAACAACAGCATCGCCGAGGACACGGAGAGCTACGACGACCTGGACGAGTCGCACACCGAGGACTTCTCCTCCTCCGAGATCCTGGACGTCTCGCTCTCCCGGGCCACCGACCTGGGCGAGCCCGAGCGCAGCTCCTCCGAGGAGACCCTCAACAACTTCCACGAGGCCGACAGCCCCGGCGCCGTCTCCCCCAACCAGCCTCGCCCGGGGCCACCGCCGCAGCAGCAGCAACCGCCCCGAGGCCTGGCCAACGGCGGCGGTGCCCACCCTTTCCAAGGACCCCACTACGCCCACGGGCACCCCCAGGCCTCCGGGGCTCCCCCGCCGCCACTGGCGGTTTCGGGGGGCTCTCCATCCAGCCCGTCCTTCCGGAGGCTGCCCGTCGCGGCGAGCTTGGAGAGCGCCAGGCCTGGTCCTGCCGTGGGTAGCCTGGCTGGGCCCACCGTGGCTCCCTTTCACCACACGGGGGCTGCTTGCACGGGGGGAGCGCGGCAGGTGAGCAAGACCCTCCGGAACCTTGCCCCTACCGGCAACGGCGTGGCCTTGCCCGGAGGGGGCCACCCTGGGAACGTGGCGCTCTCCGGCGGGGTTGGCAACGGCACCGGGCCCTCCTCCAACGCCGCCGGGAGCGCCGGTCCTACGGCTCCGGGGCCCGCAGCCACGGGTCATCTGCAGCCCGCCGGCAGCACGTCCCGCTTCCGCGTGGTGAAGCTAGATTCGAGTTTGGAGCCGTTTAAGAAAGGCCGATGGACATGTACTGAGTTCTACGACAAGGAGAACCCCGGCCCAGTGGCTGAATGCACCCCCGCGGCTAAAACCGTGGACGCTCTACTAGACGTGGCCTCCGAAAGGGAAAGCACCAGTGGGAGCTCCGTCAGCAGCACCCTGAGCCACTACACCGAGAGCGTGGGCAGTGGGGAAATGGGGGCTGCTTCTGGGACGCAGCAAGTAGGGTTCCCCGGCGGGCCTCAGCAGATGGAGTTCAGCAGCGCTGGGGTGCCCCCGGGGCCAACGCCGGGGCTCCCCCAGAGCATGTCTCAGTCCCAGCTTTCCCAGGTCCAGCCGCATCCTCAAGAGGTCGGCTACCCTCCGCAGAAGCAAGGGGTCCCTCCTCCAGCCTCGGCCGTTCCTCCGCCGTTGACCGTCCTTGGTGGCCACCAACCGACTCTGGCCTCCCAACAGCTGCCGTTCGCCCCACCGCCGGCCCAGCCGGGCCCAGTTGTTCCACAGCCCCAACCGCTACCTTTTGGGCAAGGACAGGCCCAGCACCCCACCGCCCTCCCACCCCTGTCTATGCAGATGGCTCCGGGGCACGTGAAGCCCGCGACCCAAACTCCGCTGCCCGAGTACATCCAACCGCCGCAGATGCTTCCGGCTTCGGCTTCTCTGCAGCCTGGGACGGCGATGGTCGGAGGCGGCTCGGCCGTGCCCCTCGCTCAGCCTCCCAATATGCAGCTTCCGGTCCAGGCCCACATCCCGGGGGTACCTCCTCAGCCGGTGGCGCAGGCCCAGCCCACAATCCCTGCCGTGGGCGCTCCTGCTCCCCTGATGAACGTTGGACCACCCGGAAGTGTCGCTCCCGTGGCCCAGCGGCCACCTATTGCAAATCAGATGGCTCCTTCGGTGATGGCCCCCGGCGCTGGTGGTCCTGCACCCTCCCAAGCAACTGCCCCAGTTCCTGCAGGGGTTGTTCACCCGGGGTCCCAAGCTGCTCCGTCAGGCCTTCCACAGTCGTTGGGCATCCCGCCGCCCAGTAACCTGATGCCCATGAAAGCAGCCGATCCTCTGGTCCCAGGAATGGCCCAGCTGCCTCCGGTCAGTCCAGTCCCTCCTGTGCCCGGCCACTCGGCTGCGAGTCTGCCCTTGGCTCCTTCCAAGACCCTCGCCCAGCAAAATGGGAACCTGGTCCCGAATGTCTCTCAGCCCGCCTTGATTTCCACGAGCATCAGTTTGTCCGGAGCCCCCAACTCTTCCCAGTTCTCCGCGCAGTCCTTCGCTCAGTCCATGGCCAGCCGAACTGACGAGGCCAAGCGCCCCACGGAATCCACCCTGGTTGGCTTAACCCAACCTTCTGAAAGCAGCCTTGGCACCACCTCGGCGTTGGCAGACGGGAGCATGGTCTCTCTCTTCCCCTTGAAGGTACTTCCGCTGGCGTCTCTGGATGGTGAGGAAGACAGGTAAGATCCTTTCAAAGGGACAGGTGGGTAAGATGGACTCAGGTGAACCGGCTCAGGCCTGGCCGGAGACCAGCTTTCTAATGAATGTCTTGGAAGCTTACAAGAATGAAGTTGGGCCGTAGTAGACCGATGCGTCTCTGCCAAGGTGCTTGATGGCCCTTTTGTGGGGCTTCCAAAAGTGGACGGTGTCCTGGGATGGGGGGGGGTCAACTGTAAGGAAGAGCTGCAAACACTAAATTCAGGGGTGAGGTGGTCTTTTCTTTCTGCGGAAGGTACGTAAGAAGTGCGTTGTTGAGCGCAAGTTGGTCCAAATTAATCCCGTATTTAGGATCCGGCTAAAGAATCATCGGGAACCTTTACTCTGTAGGCATTTGGGGTTTTTCTGATTAGAGGTGGAAGGTGGAATGGGAACGGATCGGAGAGGACCGAGACTTGAGCCACCCTTAATTCAGAATTTTCTCCCTTCCCCCACCCACTTTGTTAAGGCATCCTTATTAGACCAGTCCTATATCCGTCAACCAACGTGTATTTTTCCAGGATCTTGCGATGGTCTTGCAGGGCCAAATTCTGCAGAAATGTAGAACAGAGAGCGGCTGAATTGAAGACGGAGGCCTGCGCGGTCAGCATCCCGGAAGGATGAGAGAGGAGATTTGAGACATTCAGTTGAAGTTGTTGTGTGTGTCGATTTAAGGTCCCACCCCAAAGAAATCAAGGCAGAAACATGGGAATCTTTGGAGGTTGTTTTCATCCTTAGGTAAAACACCGTCCTAGGGGATTTGGGGGCCAGCAAGAAGTTGAGGAGAATTAATGGGGGGGGGCTTGTTCTTTGTGACCTTTGAATTGATTTTAGGCAGACAACTTCCAGTGCTGTTAGTTAGCGTGGTCATTGCTGGGGGATGCTGGGAGTTGTTGTTCAGCCTATGAAGGCTGCAGACTCTCCCCCCCCCCCCGCCCTCCTCTGGATGTATGTGTATATATCTACACACTCTCTCTCTTTCTCTTTCTCTATATATTATATATCTATCCCCCTCTTTCTCATCTATCTGCCATCTCTCTCTCTTTGTATGTGTGTGTGTATATCTATATCTACAATCTCTGTATACACACACACACACACACACACACACACACACATGCACCCCGATCTCAGCAATCAGATTCCAGCATCTTATGGGTGCTATTACACTAAATCTCTAGGCTTGACCTAATGCCAAATAGGGATGTGCAATATATGTGTGTGTGTGTGTGTGTGTGTATCCTCTATCTATCTATCTATCTATCTATCTATCTATCTATCTATCTATCTATCTACCATCTATGTCTGTCTGTGTCTGTCTGTCTGTCTATCTATCTATCTATCTATCTATCTATCTATCTATCTATCTATCTACCTATCTACCTATCTACCTATCTATCTATCTATCTATCTATCTATCTATCTATCTATCTATCTATCTATCTATCTATCTCATCACTATCCTATCTATCTATCTATCTATCTATCTATCTATCTATCTATCTATCTATCTATCTATCTATATATCTATATATCTACCTACCTACCTACCTACCTATCTACCTATCTATCTATCTCTCTCTCTCATCTATATCTTTATCTATCTATCTACCTATCTACCTATCTATCTACCTATCTACCTAAATCTATCTATCTATCTATCTATCTATCTATCTATCTATCTATCTATCTATCTATCTATCTATCTATCTATCTATCCCCCCTCTTATCTATCTACCATCTCTATATGTATATACACACTACCTATCTATTGATAATTTCACCATTTTTCTTGTGGCAGACATATTCAGAATGGGGTGGATCCATTCATTTATGAATCCTGTTGTTCTGTAACATTAGAAAGTTGAATTATTTTTTTTGTGTGGTCTTGCTTATTCTCTTCCTTCTGCACAGAAACCAGTGGCCTATGAGACCCAAAATCTCTTTACCCTTTTATTACTTGTATCACCATCCCACTTTTTCTCTGAGCTCAGTGGAATTTCACTGGAAATCTCCCTTTTATTCTTAAAACAACCCCGCTACGGTGGGCTGGGTCAAGAGAGAGGCCTGTTTCTGATACCCACTGAGCTTCTAGGGAAGAGTTGGTACGTAGTAAGGTGGTATGTGTTGGTTTAAGGTTACACCCAAAAAGAAACCCTGGCAGAAACGTGGGATCCGGTGGGCGCCCAAAACCCCGATCTCCGCCATCCGATTCCAGCATCTTATGGGTGCTACTACACTGAATCTCTGGGCTTGACCTAATGCCAAATGGGGATGTGCAATATATTCAGATTTGAAGCAGAAAACGTGCTTGGAAAAGAGCATGGGTGTGTGTTTGCTGCATTGTCGATGCGTCTCGGGCTGAGGATCGTAATCCCAAGGCATCTGGGAAGCCACCGGGTTGGGCAGGGGTTGATTTAAGTCTGTACTTTGTGTTAGCTGTGCAAACTCACCGAGGCAGAGTTTAGGGGTCCTAGCGAAGGGGCGAAGGGGCTTCACAATAAGAAATATCTCGGCAGATTTGCACGGGTTGATAGCCAAGGCTTTGATTGAGGCCGCCTAGCTGGGTTACGATTGCCTTATTTTTCATTTCCTTCATCCAATCACGTTTCCTTTGCTGGGTGAGATCCCCGAAGTAAAGTCGAAGTAAATCAGCTGCTCCCTCTTGGATTCTTGTTCACGAAACAGGCAGTTTCAGAGGCTGTACAGGTAGTCCTCGACTCAACGGCCACAATTGAGCCCCAGATTTCCGTCGCCACGTGAGGCATAGTCGTTAAGTGAGTTGCGCCTCATTTTACGACCTGTTTGCCACTGTTATTAAGCAAGTCACCCCAGTTGTTAAGTGAACCATGCGGTCGTTAAGCGAATCCGGCTCCCCCCCCATTGACTTTGCTTATCTGGGAAGGTCACAAATGGCGATCACGTGACCCCAGGACTCTGCAACCGTCATAGGTACATGCCAGTTTCCAAGTACCCAAATTTTGACTGCTTGACTGAGGGAATGCTCTGACGGTCGTAAGTGTGAGGCCCAGTCACCGCTCACTTTTCCCAGTGTCGTCGTAACTTCAAACAGCCGTTAAATGAGCCATCGTAAGTCGAGGACTACCTATATACATCTTCAGAATCTCTCTGTTTCTTTGCCCAGATCAGGGGTAGGCAACCGTGGCTCTTTTATGATTCGTGGACTTCAACTCCCAGAATTCCTGAGCCAGCATGGGGGAACTATGGCCCCTTCATGACTGGTGGACTTCAACTCCCAGAATTCCTGAGCCAGCATGGGGGAACTATGGCCCCTTCATGACTGGTGGACTTCAACTCCCAGAATTCCTGAGCCAGCATGGGGGAACTATGGCCCCTTCATGACTCTTCCAGAATTCCTGAGCCAGCCTGGCTCAGCATGGAAACCTCTCCCTTTCCCTTCAGCATGGCTGGCTGAGGAATTCTGGGAGTTGAAGTCCACGAGTCATCAAAGGGCCAAGTTTGAAGACCTCTGGCTTAAGCCAAACAAGCTTTCTTACAGTAATAGGTTAGTTTATTCACATGGTCTCCTAATCTAGAGTCTTGGTTAACCAACATCATGAGCTATTTCAACCTCTGGGAGTTGAAGTCCACAAGTCTTAAAGTTGCCAAGTTTGAAGACTCCTGGTATAAGGTCTTGAGTAGGGGGTTTGACTAGAAGACCTCTTGAGGTCCTATCCAGCCCTAGGATTCCATGTTCTACATTGGAAGAGGCTGGAGGATCCTTTGGACAAAAGTTTTGGTCCTTTTCAAGCTAGTCGTCCTGGAGAGAATTATGGATTCTCTCTGACAGTGATAAAAATTTGTAGCCCAAACATGAAGGGAACTATTGATGGCGTTATCAAAAATATTGCTTTTCTGGGTGTTTTGCTGACCAATCTGCTGAGTATTTTTCTACTTCCTAGTAGAATAATACAATAATACAATTTTGCTGTACTGTGCTCGAATACCGCAAATAAAATACTTAAATGTTATGGTTCTCTAACGACCTTTGAAAGAGTCCCGGACTGTTGAAAGCAACTGTAAATTGCACCATATTTTGTGGGAGATATCTACCACAGCTCTCTGAGGGTGATGTAAACTGGATTTTTCTGACATTCAGAGGTTCTCTATCTGAGGAAGTTTTTGGGAAGAAGCTGGATAATTCAGTTGGTTTTCCTTCGCTTTCCCGAGGATTGGGTGTGACGCTGTTGATATCCTTTCCAACTCTACAATTCTCCTTCTGCCTTAACTGAGCAGGATCATGCAGCTTGATTTTAAATTACTCGTGATTGTCTACTTTCTGAAGCCTTGCAGAGAAAACCAGGTTAGTTGGCAATTCCACTTCAGAGAGGAAAAAAGGAAACTGGATTATTTTTTTTAGGAATGTTGGTGTAGGACCCTATTGACCTAAATATGCTTGGAGAGCAATTGGACTTAATTAAAAATGCAACTTGGACAATAACGTTTTGTAGTGGTTTACATTTTTTTAATAAAGATTTTATTGAATTTTATAGGGTTTGGGATAAAATAGGGTCGGTGTAGGGTTTAGGGTGGGGTTGGGATCAGGATTGGGGTTAAGACAGGGTTGGGGTCAACATTGGGGTTATCCCCCAGTAACTTTTTCATTATTTAGCAAGCAGACTATTGTCTGGGTACATATGTTTAGCCAACAATAGTTAATATAGTAATAGATAATTGTAGTAAGTATAATAAACAGTATTAATTACTCAATGCATAACCTTCTTACTAGTATGTATTCAAAATAACATATCACATTCATTTCTCACTAGTTCGTTTTCCTAACCATTGCTAGAAGTTATCCCATGTTCTAAAGTAAACTGAATCTTCTTTCTCTTTAATCTCTAAAGTCAAATCTATCCATTTCTGCACATTCTTAGATTTTCTTAATTAAAACCTCTTCAGTTGGTAAGTTTTCATTTTTCCAATATTGGGCAAATACAATTCACGTTTGTTGATTAGGTTC